GTGCGCGGGGCTGTGTGTGCGGTGTTGGGGGGGGGGTGGGGGGGGGGTGGGGGGGCAGTTTTATGTGGTAGGGCAGTGTCTGTGAGCAGGAGAAGGTGGTTTTGTACAGGCTTAGATCATTAGCGGGGTGTCAGTCCCATTAGGGCTGGTGGAAACCGTCACCGACTACAATAAACAGATCTGTTGGCCGCGTGCTCAGACAAGCAGGCGGCAGGCACACTCCGCCACAGTCCCCGGACAGGAGCAACCCCTGGACCATCTACGCTGTCCCCCAACAAACAGAGAATGTGTTTACATACACGTGCAAACGCACACAAACATGCACAAAGGGAAAAGTGCATTTTCCACAGATTGTCTAAGCATGCAACCAATCCTTGTCCCTTTTTTTTTTACAGGAGGGGAAAATGGCCAGCAGCCCAGCAGAAAAAAAAAAGTGAAAGTCGGCTTTAATTCCACTCTAATTTTCATAAACCGTGGCATTTTCTGTCTGGAAAAAATTCACCCACATTCCACTGCACGCAAATTAATCAAAAGAAAAGAAAAGGAAAAAAGGGAAAAGTGTCTCTCGCTACAAATTAGTGGCTTTCGACTGGTAGGAAATTATTGTCTGCCTTAAACCTCGCTACACATTATCTGTCCGCTAAAAATAACGCCATCTGCAGTTCATCAGGACTCGTCAATTTGCTGCTCAGTACAACTGTGAAGGTGGTTTACCGATACGTAACATGTAAACAATTTTATTTTACTTTTTTTTCTACCTTGCTGGATGTCCTTCATCTCCAGATGCAGACTCGATATGAGGATGCCGACGGCCTGGGATCGCTTCCCGTCCAACAACTTGATAATCTAAGAAACAGGCGAAAAATATATTCTTAGTCTTAACATATACATATACATGTATATATATATATATATACATATATATATATATACATATATATATATATACATATATATATATATACATATATATATATATACATATATATATATATACATATATATATATATACATATATATATATATACATATATATATATATACATATATATATATATATATAAATATATATATATATATAAATATATATATATATATACATATATATATATATACATATATATATATATACATATATATATATATACATATATATATATATACATATATATATATATATACATATATATATATATACATATATATATATATATAAATATATATATATATATACATATATATATATGTATATATATATATATATGTATATATATATATATATGTATATATATATATATGTATATATATATATATATGTATATATATATATATATATATACATATATATATATATACATATATATATATATACATATATATATATATATACATATATATATATATACATATATATATATGTATATATATATATATATTTATATATATATATATATTTATATATATATATATATTTATATATATATATATATTTATATATATATATATATACATATATATATATATACATATATATATATATATACATATATATATATATATACATATATATATATGTATATATATATATATGTATATATATATATATATTTATATATATATATATATACATATATATATATATACATATATATATATGTATATATATATATATATGTATATATATATATATATTTATATATATATATATATACATATATATATATATATAAATATATATATATATATAAATATATATATATATATAAATATATATATATATATAAATATATATATATATATAAATATATATATATATATACATATATATATATATATACATATATATATATATACATATATATATATATATACATATATATATATATATAAATATATATATATATATATTTATATATATATATATATACATATATATATATATATATATATATTTATATATATATATATATAAATATATATATATATATACATATATATATATATACATATATATATATATATAAATATATATATATATATATATTTATATATATATATATATAAATATATATATATATATATATACATATATATATATATATACATATATATATATATACATATATATATATATACATATATATATATATACATATATATATATATACATATATATATGCACACATATAAATATAAATATATATGCATATCTAGACACACATATGTACATATACACACATAAAGTATATTAAATTTAAAATTAAATTAAAGACATATTAAATATATTAATATATAATATTATAACATAATATATTGATTAAAATATTAATTACACATAATAGGGTTTTACTTTTCAAATTGCTACACTATACATTACGATAATTTCTTAAAAGCTACAAACTCGGAATTCTTTGGAGCAAATTAAACAGCCAAGAGATCATTTCTCTTCCACTAGGTGGCAGCACATGGCTACAAAAACTATTCGGAACTGTTGGAGAAGATCCCTTTGGCCTGTTTTTCTTCAATTCCTGCACGTATATCAACATTGTGTTCGACTAAACAGGCCCAGGTTTCACACTGAGTAAGTCAAATATATTTCATAATTTTTGGGACATTTCTGTTTGTTGGTGCCTGGTCGGATTTTTCTAATGTGAAAAATGTGTCGGGCTCAAAAAAAGGTTGGGAAACATTGAGACAGATGAAAGTCTGAATCAGATGAAACACAATCAAATCACAGATTTCTATGTTGTTTTTTATTTTAAGTGAATCAATTTTATCTGCAGGATTAAAGAGTGCAGGAAATGAGTTAGAGAATCTGATGAAGGATGATGAAAGACAAAGGTTTGTTTTTTTGGGGCGAGGGCTGGTGAAGTCGAATAGTTCCTGCAGTGTGGAAGCAGATGACCGATGATGACGTTGACCACAAAAAAAAAAAACAAAAAAAAAAAAAACAGAGGGAAAAATTCCTTAGAGTAGCCCGGACTCTGATCCCACGGAGCCAAGAGATTCTTTAGCTAACTCTGTTATAACACATCATCGGAATAACGACGAGAGAGAGAAGAGTGAAGCTGTTCAGCTGTACAGAAAAGCACTTCCTCCTATTTGTCAAATTTTTATTCTATCACTAATATCAAGTCACTGCGGGAGTAGAAATGTAAAAGTGACACCATAAAAAAAGAACGGTGCAGAAGAACAGGGCAAACAGAACACGGACTTTTATAACAAACTATAAATTCACAGCGTTTTCATTCCCACCTACACATGGTCACAATTACTCACGACATAATTAGCTGCAAAGCAAGAGAGAGTTTTTTTTGGCAAGCTAGCGCTCTGCTCTAAAACTTAATGTGTCGGGCTTCTTCATTAGGTATTATGGTGTTGTCGGCTACTGGGCAGTCCGGTGGGAGACGGAGTGCAGAAGCCTTAGAAGTGGGTATTGCGTTACAGGGAGTTAGTGGGTGCCACGCTGCTTCGTACTCCATTACTCGTGTTTTCTGGGGAATCTCCCACTCGGGGGACATGAGCGACTGGATACCAGGCTTTTCCAACACCTTTAATTAACCACTGAACGCAGACCAGGAACCCTTTAGCACTCGCCGTGGCAGCAGAACCTGCCCATTAGCACGTACAGTTAAGCTAACAACTAAAGATGGATGGTTCGATGCCGGTGCTCGGGGTCTATATCTGAACCCGTCTCTGCCTGATTCTGCTCGCTGAGGTTAGAAGAGAAAGAGAAAGTGATGAGTTCAAGACCACGCAGTGAAAAAGAAAGTTGGAGGCGTGCAGGGAGGGTGTCGACGTGGTGATCTACAGCAGGTGGCTGGTGTTTAGAAACGAGGGCAGGGTCAGCAGAAGTGAACAGTTTACACAGCCACAGCCACAGCCCACGCTGCGCTGACTGCGTGTGTCTGACTGTCTGCATGTGGACACCCGGACGTGTCACGGTAACAACTGGATCAAGACGTGTCATCGATAACCAACTACAGAACTCTTAACAAACCCTGAGTCACCCACCATCTCTGTCCCACACTGGGGGACCAATGGAATTCCAATGGAATATGACATGCTGGAGATACGTGTACCGCTGCTGTGATGCTTAAATTATAACAAGCCTCCAGTCACTAGGTGGCAGCAACTCATACAGTTTTGTATAGATAAATACATGTTATCAGGTTCTCAACAGTATTTCAATTCGCGGGGGTGCACATAAAAACATTTTTGCCCGACAGAAAATGAACTGAACCACTGCCTTAGAGTAATGAACTAATAGAATTTCGGAAGAGAGTTCTAAAAAAATTAAAGCATTTAAAGCAGCGGTTCCTCAACTCTTTCTGTACAGCGCCCTCTACTGTACACTCTTTATCAAACTATACTCTAATAACACTGTAATTCCTAAAGAAAAAATAATGAATTATATAAATCTTACTTGACTTGCTGGGATCCCTGCTCCATTAAGGGGCCAGCCCCTCACTTTGGGAACCACTGACTTAATCAGATGCCCCTTATGTAAAGATTATATCTGTGTTTACTGAGTCACATTTTTGGACACGTACAAATTGAGCCCCACTTTTGATGATGATGATGATGATGATTTCTTCATCCGGGTGTCACCCCACCCTCACCCCCCCGCTCCTCCCTTGATCTACAACGCCCTCCGTGCCAGTTCTTGGCCCCCGCCACCTTCTCACCCCTATTAATGCTCTAAATTCACGGCCTCCACTTGTCAGTGGAGTGGAGCCACATGCCTGCAATTACCCCGGTCTTGTCCGGTCCTTAAGTTCTGGTCTGCCGGGGCCGAGGACCTCTCCTCCGTATCCTCTCCTCTGCTTTGATATGTTAATGAGCAGAGAGAGAGACGGGCTCCAGAAAAAAACAACAGCTTTGATTTTTCTATGGCACACATGATAAAGATTAACTCACTCAGCAACACATTGGGCTGCATCCCACCGCTTGAAACCTTTTTTTTTTTTGACGCGAGGAGCCGCTGGGGAGCAGCAAAGTGGCTCATATGCATAATGTACACACACATTCCTCCCCCGCCCACTCATCATCCCCTCAGCACTGTCAGGCTCGGGAATGTGTCTGTGTGTGTGGGGTAGGGTGGGGGTGATGGGGGTAGGGGGTGGTTGATGGGTGGTGTTGGCACGATCTGGCAACACTTTCAGAGCAAATGCATAATAACAAGAACGGACGTGCTGTCATCACATGTGATGTAAAGCGACCGATTCAAGACACACAAACACAGAACTTTGAACACACTGTGGAAACTGTAGGTCCACGTGTTCCCAAGAAACACTACATGACATGAATGGATGAATGGATCGTGTTGAAGTGGGAAGTTATCGTGCAGCAAGATCAGAAAGATAAGGCGTTTCAAATGACAGCGTCATGATGTGTTCATGTGCAGGGAAACTGCCCTGTGTTTGCATTTTCTAAAATTTTCCCTTTTCTTCCCAAAGTATCGCCCAGGGTGGTTATGGGTAAAAATATTTACCAGCGGAAAAGAGAATTGTAAATGGCAGTCAATTTAACAATCAAAACATAAGAATTGGTTCGCTTTGGTAGAACAGATAAGAGCAAACTAAGGCCCATGGGCCCGGATATGGCCCACTTGGGCTTTGTGAATGGGGCTCACCAAACACTGGTGCAAAATATTGAATTATTTGGAAATAAAAACAAATATTTTGTCTTTATCCTACATTACCCCAGCATTTTTGATTTGGACCACTAGATGGCAACATCCATACAAAGAACACTTTTTACTTTAATTAAGCAACTGTGTTAGACATTTCTGTAATGGGTCTGATGAGTGGGCCTGAGAAAATGCAAATGGACAGAATGGGCAAGAATGTTTTTTTTTTTTTTTTTACCCTGCACTGAGTTGTTCGCTCCCTTTCCCGCGGTGGACAAGAATTAGCCTAGCATTTTAGTTGAAAGTGAGAAATCACTTAATTAAATAGATTGGATACGGTCCAAAAACCTTATCTCGATTATATATATACAGTATATATATATATATACTGTATATATATATATATTTTTTCCCCCGATATCCGATATTGTCCAAACACTTAATTTCCGATTCTGATATCAACCAATACCGATACATGCAGCCGTTTTTTCCCAAAACTGCGAAAGGCTTTCATTGAGTTATCAGAGGAAATACCGGTAAAGATTCTTACTGATATTACATAATTATGCTAATATCGGGCTGATAATATCGGTCGGGCAATATTATCGGACAATTATCGCTCTAATGTGTATAAAATTTGCTCAAAAAATGTTGCTTTGCTCTATCGTACCTATCTGCCATGTAAATGTCTCAGCTAGTGGTTGCTGACTGACCACTAGTTGGTCTCTTCTGAGATGAATTTGCTGATGTCCAAACCGTCATTTTTTTCTTTAAATGGCTAGAATAGAGACATATCGGTTAAAGTTTGCTCGATGTGGAGGAATAAAGAAAAGCAGCTGGGAAAGTCTTCAGCTTTAACAATATGAGAAAGTGAAGAGAGTGACACAACAAGAAGGAAAAGAAAAAAGGATGAAAGACACTTCCAACAAAATCAGTGTCAAAGTCAGAATAAACATCTTTATTCTTTTGCACTCTGGACGAAAACAAAGGAGAAGTCGAGTATTGTATTCAAATCAAGAGTCTGGAAGTAATTGCGAACTGGAGAGCAGAAAGCCAAAACGGACTTCCTGAAATACATACGATGCTCCAGGAATGTGACGCGATTCCAACATGTGAGTCATGAGGTATTTGTCTGCCTTCATTTATACATCACATGTATCAGACGAGCTGTTTGTTTTTCCCACCGTAAACAGCTTTATATATAGGAATATATACAAAGACGAGGTTTACACCAAAATCTAAAGAAGATCTAAACTTAAACCCAAACTCGTTCAACCCTCACACGTTCCCCTCACTGTGCCGTCATATCGTAGCTACGGGAATTTTGGTCGATTCCCATATTTGGGCTGAGACCAATTTTTCCTGATTCCGAATTTCTCAAAATAATTACATACAGAGAAAGTATATGAAACTTCAGTTGTAAAGTTACCTAAATTTCCTGGAATTTGGAAAATGGAACTCTTGAGAGATTATTAAAATTATATCTATCTATCTATCTGTGACTTCAGCGTTAGCCCATGCTAACGTAGTGACTACTGTAATGCTAAAAAACAAACATTTTCTCGTTGTTAGCCTCTTGAAATAGGCATGTAGGCTGGATGATGGTGTAGCTATCATGTCAGATTGGGTTTAAACCAACTGTTACATACATTTCAAATGGCAAACCTGGAGTTTTTCTGCCTCACTGTAAAGAACTTCTAGGCTAACGACATGTTAGCTTCAGCTTGTGAATGTGAGCTTCCTCTCCTGTTCTCAGACACTGAGCTGATTGTTGTGAAAACTGTGATCAATAACTCACCAAATCGTTCCAATTATCACTCTTTTTGTTTTGTTTCCTCTCTCCGACTCTCTCCAAAAATCTGTTTCTCTTCACTCCTGTTGTCTCTCTCGCTTTCTCACCTTTCACTACATGTGCTGATGATTCACATGATTTGTGTCTCAGGGCCATTTTTTTTCTCGCTCTTACTAACAGTATAAACTTACAGAGATAAAAAAAAAAAAAAAAGATTGCATAAACAAGTCTCTCCTCTTATGACGACCTTCTCAGTGGGATGGAATTTTGAAGGGCTTTGAGAGGAGCCGTAACTTCACGTACTCACTTTCTCTCTTTGCTCGTTGAGTCAGATCCTGATTCAACTTCTTGGCTTTTGACAGTTTCTTTTTTTTTTTTTTTAATTCTAAATATTGTAGAACCAAATACTTAGACGCAGATTTAAACCTCAGTCTAGTTTCCATACAAAACCCTTTCCTCATTTAGAAACAAGAGGAGGAAAAAAAAGTGCCATTAGACCCACAGTTTTTCTGAATGATACGTACGGTATTTTTTTTTTTTTGAAACTGTTTCCATTAGTGGGGTCTTGCAGGCTGATGTAAGCCCAGACAGGAGACAGTTGGCAGGATCTGTGTCTGGATGTGGCTGTCTGACTTGGATCAAATGTTGGACAGTTTGCTGCGTTAGAATGACCAGACTGAGACTGGGATGAGGGCAAGGACAGGAGAACAAACACACGAGAACCACATGCACACACACACACACACACACACACACACACACACGTATGCACTGTGTGGCCCTGTGGAACGCGGTGGTGCCTCGACAAATTGATCAGAATTAGGGTATGGATTTAAAAAGGGGACAGACGGGGGACAGTGGCTGACTCATAGGTGCTGGGACGCCTGGATGAAGACCACCAGGCGGCCAGGCTGCTGACACAGCACCGGCTGTGGTCAGGGGTGCAGGGTTACAGCATTGGACAGAGGTTTAACAGGTGTGTCTTTGGAGGTTTGGGGGGGAAAGTGAAAGAATCAGGCAGAAATTTCCACCATTGCTTTTGTTCTTAGTGTTTTTTTTTTATTGTGTCTTAGTGTTTATCCCAACAAAAAGTCTCTCTCTATATATAAATATACTGGTTTTTTTATTTTTTTTATTGGAATTAGTCAAATAGGCTAGTTGGTTGTGAGTTTTTTTTATTTTTCTATCGATGTTTCTTGCATGGTATTCTACAAACCCACTCTCTAAAAAATTTGCTTGATTCTATAAAATACAAACGCACTTCTATAATGCTAATTTCGCAGTGCCATCTGGTATTTTCGTAACACTTTTAATGACTTAAAATAAAAGATATAAAGTGTCAGTTTGCGAAAAAAGAAAAAGGAAAAAACGGCTAGGGCCTGTGTGACGTCAGCCCACTAGGTGGAGCCACTGAGCTTACCTTTTTGGTTTTGGCTTTCTTCTCATATGTGTCAGCGAGGGGTTTCTTCTTGGTCTGCTGTGTGGCCTTGGAGAACAGATCCTCAAACTCGTTGGCGTTGACGATGTTCGGTTCCTCTAGGGTTCCCCACAGTGTGTTGTTGCTGGAGAAAAAAAAAATAAAGAATTGACTTTTTTAGTGAGGTTTAAACACAACACTGATGCTTCGGTGAGATTTTCTTCACAGTTAGTAAAACCACATTCAAAAGGGCAGGCTTCATGTCCAGGACAAATGTTTGTTGTGTTGTATTTGAGGAAAACAAGTAGACGTTTATTTGACCTTTGTCAACGTTTGCCATTTCCCTTTTTGTCGTCCGGCACAAACACTGCGCAGGAATGACTGTAAAATCTCAGTTTAAAGAAAACAAAAATTACAAAAAGCTGGGTGATAAAAAAATAACAAAAAAAAAAATATTCAGACAACTGTGTTTTTCCAATAAAAGAAATATCTCCAGAAATATCTCAGGAAACAAACCATGAGAGGCAGTGTTGTGCCCCAGAAGTTGCTGAGTAACATCGGAGAAAAACAAACAACCGAGGCAGAAATGAGATCAAGAGGTGTCTAAAGTCGAGAAGATGTTCAGAGGAGTGAAGCGCTGCGCTGTTACCAAAACTAAAACTCAACCCATCTGTCTCCCCCTCTGTCTCGTCCTCTCCCTGGGTTTGTTCATCTACAGGCACAGTAAATGGCATAAAAACAAAAATCTTACACTTAAGGACGGAGCGAGCTGCGATGACGACAAACTACAGATGTGTAATTACCATATTCTTGCACAGAAACAGCAGAGTTTTACACAAGTCAAGATCTAATGACTTTACTCCGGTCAGTCTTCTCATGTCAAAGCCCATTTAGAGTGAGAAAAAGAATCTGGACCCAATGCACAAACACAGGCGCTGGCAGACTCATCAAGGCTTGAATAACAGAACAATCAATTACACTACCAATGACTCAGTTAGGGTCAAGTGAGTCCAACAGACTCTGTTTGCAGCAGGCCTTCGATTGGGATGGTAAAGTATTTATTTAGGAGATCCGTGATATTCTGAGGAGGACATAAAAGTCTTTCCTGCTTTCATTTTAGCACTGGGTGAAAAATAAGACTCAACCCGACAGTGACGGAAACTAGCTTGGAAAAGAAAACCCACTCCAAACCCCCAGAAATCTTTCCATGCAAGACAAGGTTTATAATTGACTAGATTATAACAGTAATTGAGTTCAAATCCCTTCTTCAAGTTCCACTTTTTTTTCCCCCTGCAGCTCCATGGGAAAGTGTGCTGCCACATCAGTGTACGTTTAAAG